GGGAAAGGAAATAAGGTTTAATATTCATTAGATGAAGAGGAGGACAGGGACAGTCAACCCTCAAAGCACTGTCATTGGGCTATGGGAGTGTGGCTCAAGTGACAGAGTGCCTACCTAGCAAGTTCAAACCACGGTACTACCAAAAAAGAAAAATTGTATAAAATATATATATCAAAACACTGTCATCCTACCTCTGAGAGAAAATGTTCACTTTTTTTTAAATTTATGTTTTGGCGGCACTGGGGTTTGAACTCACACTTGCTAGGCAGGCACTGTACCACTTGAGCCATTCTGCCAGTGTTGATGTTCGCTTTTTAAAGGGGTGTTCAGGAGACTCAGCTTGACTGTGTGATGTTTAGAACGCTGCTGGCCTTGGTTCTTTCTCCAGGGGTCTCATGCTGCGTCTCTGAAGCTGTATGGCATGGCTGACAGGTTTACTTCTCTGGTGGTCAGAGAGGTAAGTGGTAGAAGATTACCTGGTTAAATCGGCAAGGGGAGTTGGCGTTGGCCTTGTCAGTTTAATTAACAGAGTAAACTAGCCAGCATGAAAGTTGGCTACAAACCAGCGGTTTCCCCTTTTGTAGTTCCTGTTACACTGAGATGACAAATGGACTCTCTCATTTGCTGAGAGCCCACACCAAGGCTCCAGGATGGTAGTGGGAGCCCAGTGAATCTAGAGGCCACATTTAAAGTCCAGCTTGGCCTGCTTCCTTCCCCACCCCACCCCCACAGCCTATCTCTTTCTTTCTTGCAGTTTTGGGAATCAAACCCAGATCCTTATGTATACTAGGCAAGCACTACCACTGAGCTACAGTGCTGGCACAGTCTCTTTTTCTGTAAATGGGGAGGATTCTGACAGTACTTTGCTTGCTAAGTACTGAGGTGATGATGACTGTCTAGAGATTGGCGTAGCTGTCACAGGTACTCAGCCAGGGAGGGGACTGTGTTTTGCTCACCTTTGAGTCCCTGCACCCTAGCTCTGTGCCTGGGACATTGAAGGGGTCTATCGTTTCCCGACAAGGCCCTTGATCTGGGGTGCTGGCCAGCTTGGGGTACCTCACACTCTCTTGCCCCATTTTTATGGCTCCCTTTGCCGGGCCTGAAGGTTTCACAGACTGTGCGCCTGTAATCCACTCAGCACTTACCTCCCCAGTGCCCTCCTAGTTTAAGGACCTGCAAAGCCTTTGCTGAAGTCACGTCCTCCCCATGCCTGGGTTTATACTGCCCTCTGGTGTGTGCAATGGGACAAGCACGTTCAATGAAGGTTCTTGGTGAGTGACCTTTTCCTGACATTGGGAAAGAAAGGCTGCCCTGTAGGGCTTTCGAGGTGCTATTGGGGGAGGGGTAGTGTTTCAGATCCTCCACCTCCAATTTGGCTTGGAGCTCTTGGGGCTTACCAAGCAGAGTGTTTTACTGATGTCCTCAGCTGTCACATACTGTTGTCCTTCCAGGCTCTAGTTTTTCTACATGGCAGAGTTTGTTCTGCTAAGACCAGGAGGTAGTGTTTATTTGATATCTCTTCTCACTGTCATATGGTTACTTTTCTCAAGGGTGGGGATCACAGGAGGCATTGGAGACAGGAGAGCCTAAACTGCCTGCTCCATCCCGAGCCTGCACCTCCCTGCAGACTGACAATCCACTACTTCCTTCATTTTTATTTGTTCTCTAGCCTCCCTTCTGGGAGCCAAGGTCCCAGTCACTAAAGCCAAGTGTGGTCCTGTAGGGCAAAGGTGGGCAGTGGAGGCCAAACTCCAGTCCAACTTCCTCTGACCTTGCTGTTGTACCCCATGAAATTGCCGATATGCACCATGCTTGACCTCCCAAACTGCAATTTCATACGGTCCAATGTGCTACTTGGCATCTAAACACATGCTAGGAGCGGTCTGAAGTCCCAAGTTTCCTGGGCTCATTCAGAGCCAGGAGAGCCAGGCTTGTGACATACCAGGATCCTGGACTGTAGAGTGGTGAGGAGGGCCCTAAAGCTGGAGAGAAGATCTAGAGTCCAAGGCCACTGGCCATGGCAGGCTTCCCTGTCTCCACACAGTTTCTATGGTGACCTCCAGGCCAGGTGGGGTTTGGGGCATACAGCCAGGGGCTGGTGTAGAAACCCTTCTTTTAGCCAGATGGTGCTCACCCTCCTGGCTATATGAGCAGGGTTTTCTGGGGACTTCAGAAGGCCACAGGTTTCTGGACACACCAGCACCCGCACCTCCTCTTCTGCTGGTACAAGTGGCATGGAAGACCCATCTGAACAATGGCAGCCCTGTGCCTAAGGACTTCTTAAGTGGCTGCCACGCCCTCCAAACCTCAGCTGTTTGAGCAGGCCTGAGCAGTGGACATCGAAACTTGCCCAAGGGATGAGGGCAAAGTGGCCCTGGGAAGTTTTAGGCAGCAGAGAAAAGGAAGGTTGATAAGTTGCACTTCAGAGCATTTATGGAGGACACAGTTCCTTTTGCTGTGACTCCAGCTACGTGGGAGGTAGAGGTAGGAGGATCACAGTCTGAGACCATCCCTGGCACAGCTACCCTGGGACCCTACCTGAAAAACAAACTAAAAGCAAAATACAAGGGTTGTGGCTCAAGTGTTTGATTGGGTAAGCATAAGGCCCTGAGTTCAATCCTCAGTAACACACACACACCCAGAGTTTCCCATCTGGGTTTCATCCTCACTGAACCAACAAATAGGTCTTGAAGACTTTGAACTGGCACCTGATGGCACAGGTTAGGGATTTGATCTCTCTCCTTCCAGGAGGGAGCAAACGAGAGCGAGGGCTCAGCCCACTCTGTGCATCCATCCTTTTATTCATTCATTAAACAAGTGGCCAAGTGCCTGGGTGTGCTATGCACTGTGCTAGCTGCTCGGCCTGTGAGCAGAAGAGACAAAAAATCTCTGTCTTCCTGTTATTGCATTCTCTTTGGTTAGGCCATTACTAATTACGCCATTGTCCAGCTCACACTCTTATTCAACAGCTGCTACCTCTTCTACCACAGGATGACAGAACATATAAAAGGTGTATTTAAAAAAATTTTTTTTCTTTTATTATTCATATGTGCATACAAGGCTTGGTTCATTTCCCCCCTGCCCCCACCCCTAAAAAATTTTAATAAAGAGGAATGCCCTATTTTTATATACAAAAAATTTTATATATAATTTTTATGTTAGATTTTTTAAGGAGCCAGATACAAAACTGGACATATAGTTTGAGTCTGTGTTACATACATGGACATTGTAAAAGCATGGAAGTGACAGTATGGCAGATTGTATTTTTAGGATAGCCATAGATTCCCCAGCTCCTGGGCTCTTCATATAATGTGACCTTGGTTCAGTGAGAAGTGGGGTCCAGGTTCCCCTTCCCTGAATCTGTCTATGGAGGATAGTTCTGTTTCTGTCTGGTCTTCTGGGATGCTCACATCATACTGTGCTGTGAGGAAGCCCATGGAAAAGCCACACATTGGTGACCTGGCAAGAGTCCCAGCTGAGGTCCCAGCTTACAGTCAGTGTCAGTAACCAGACATGAATGAGGAAGCTCTGGCCTCTTCTAAAAGAGCTGAGACCTCAAACTTAAACAGCTGAGTCTGGCCTAGCCAAGCCTCAGAATCTGGAGATAACAGCTGGGTGTGGTGTTGTACTTCTGTAATCCCAGCACTCAGGAACTGGAGACAGGAGGATGGTGAGTTGAAGGCCAGCCTCATCTACATAGCAAGTTTGAGGCCAGCCTGGGCTATATAGTGAGATCCTTTTTAGAGGAGGCACCCTTAAAAAAAGAAAGAATTTGGAGCTAATAATAATTGCTGTGGTTAAAGCAACAAAATTTGGGGCGATTTGTTATCCAGCAATAGATATGCAGAAAGTGGTTGAACTTTGGCTTGTGGGATTATAAATGTTAACAAAATACATTTTCTACATTTTCAAGATTTCCACCGTGACCATTTATTTCTTTTATAATCGGTCAAAAAATATTAAAAATAAAAACACCTGCTAATGTTTTCGTCCACTTCATCAAGGGAGAAACTAGGTTTAAATACAAGTTTAGTTGGCTTGGGAAGAGCTTCCCACTCAGGATTTATTAGATCCTGGGAAAGACTAGGTAGATTTGGAATGAAGAGACTTGGAAACGGATCTGTTTTCTGGGTGACCTTGAGCCAGCCCTCGCTCAAAGTAGTTTTCTGTTTTGATGATAACACCCACCAGGGCGCCTGGCCCAGAAAAGGCCTCAAAGGCGCAGGTGAATCCTGTCCGAGCAATGCCAATTATAAGGGCGCATCCTTTGCTGCCACCAGAGGCCACAGTTCTAATTAAGATTGCCTGGGAAAGAACCACACCTTTTAAAAAAAAAAAAAAATCCGGAAATCCTAAGAGGCTTGCCTCGGACGCCGGGCCATGGCAGGAACCTGCAGCTCTGTACCTAGGAAGACCCATCCGACCCGAGGCCGGGGAAGCCCGGGATGCGATGAGAACGCGGACTGCGTGGGCTGGAAGCAAGCGTTGCCCGGGGCAACCCCAGGACGCGCTCCCGACTGGGGGCCGCCACTGGCTCGTGGCTCCTCCTCCTCCTGGCGATCCGCAGTTGCTGCCGGTTGGTGGGTTTATCTTGTTTGCAACCTCCGTGGAGGCCTCCGAGGGTAGACCTGGGGCTCCCCGGGCAAGGGGGCGTGAAGACCCAGAGGTGGGACAGGAGCTCTTTGGTGGGCTAGGCTTGGGCTGGTTTAGTCTGGAGCCCTGGGGACCTCCAAACTCGAAACAGACAGCACTGTCCTGATGGAAGGAAGGAGGCTCCAGTTAGGGCCCAGCCCTGCCCTCTTGACTTTATTTTTAAAAAATTATTTAGTTTAAAAAAACTTTTGGCAGTACTGGGTTTGAACTTAGGACCTTACACTTGCTAGGCAGGCGCTCTACTACTTGAACCATGCCCCCAGCCCATCCTCTTGACTTCAAATGGCTTATGAGTATGTTTGTTTTGACTGATAACCTTTCTTACAAGGGTTTTTTCTTTGTCTCAGGTTGCTTGTACTGTTGAAAACCACCGTGTGCAGAGACAAGCCCATGTACAGTGGACATAGTCCACCGAGCTGCCACCTTCCCTCCATCTCCACAGGGAGCTGCTGTAGAGAGCCAGAGAAGATTCCAGAGAAAGGAGACTGCAGCTTGGCCAAGGTGGAGAGGCGATTCAGTTAAGTCCTAAGAAATTAGGAGGACTAGGTGTGGCTTTGACACCATGTCCAAGTTTGCTTAGAGCTGGTGTGTTGGTTTTCTGTGGCTATAATAAATATCTGAGAGAGTCGACTTATAAAGAGAAAAGGTTTATTTCAGCTCATACTTTTAGAGGTTTCCATCTACGGTCTTGTGACTTTGGGCCTGTGGTGGCAGCAATTGTCAGAGCAAAAGTGCTCACCTCATGGCTGGGAAGTGAGGAATAATGAAAAAAGGGGGGCTAGGGTCCTACCGTCCCCGCCAAGGGCATGCCTCTAATGACCTAAAACCTTCCATGAGGCTCCCCTAGTTTCCACCACCTCCCAACAGTGCCATGGAGTGGGGACTGAGTCTCTAACATATGGACCTTTGGGGGAAATTCCAGATCTAAACTCTAGTAGCTAGTTTGGGGGCATATGGAAAGAACCCCTTGACTAGTACCTTAAGTCTGTGTCAATCCAAGATCTGGATTAGGCAGAGAGCACCATCAAAGCAGAATTCTCATAAATTACACCACTGGATCTCAGCAGAGCTCTAGAAGAACTTTACAAGTGAGCAAGGGGAGCCAGAGACCTGATGGGCCTAGTTTTTCTGTTAACAGATGCTGAGGCTGGATTTGACTTGAGTCTGCTGGTCTCAGAGTCATTTCCATTTTCCCTTGCTCAGCTATTAGGAGATTTATGGCACTGTGTATTGGACAGGACGGTTCATGTGGCGATTATGAACACGCTAAGGAAGGCTGAAATTAAGTAATGGCTGATCGCTCCCTGATTGGTTCTTAAGGTGGCAGAGCTTGTGTGGGACACATTAGAGCACAGAATTATGAAGCAGAACAGCCACAGTGTCTCAGAAAACCTCAGGTGATACAGGCTCAGGTTGGCATGCATCTGTTATAGGTGAGTGACCTGCATCTTTGCCCTCAGATCTTAACCTGGTCCTGGTCTCCTAGATTCCAGCTTGGCCATCTCCAGAGAGAGAGAAAGAGAGAGAAGTCTATATTTTATTTGTGACCCTTCTTTTGTGGCCTAACTGTAAGGGTGGCTCTTCTCAGGGAGGGAAGGAAAAAGGGAGGGAAGAGGAAGGGAGAGAGAGAAGAGAGAAAGAGGAGAGAGAGAGAGAGAGAGAGAGAGACAGTCTTCCACCCCTCTGGCTATAAATGGGGCCCAGGAGAACTGGCGGAGTTAGAATCATTAATGGCACAATGTAGCTAAGACAGCGAAGAGAAAAGGGTACTGGGATTCTAGCTTTCTATAGTTTCCAATTTGGTTTGGGGTAAGGAAGAAGCTGCTGTTTTAAGGGCAAGCTAGGGAGGCCTCTGAGGTGGGGGTACCAGAAGGGCATTAGGCCCTGAGATCACCAGACTGCATTATCCAAAGACCTGTGGTTTTCCTCCATAGAAAAAACTATGGAGTCCAAAGGTTTGAGGAAGGAAGATGAAGACACATGCCCAGGTTTGTGGGTACATGCATTTGCCCAGCTCAGACTGCCCATTGCTTTCATTACTTCTCGGGGATGGGGTGTCCTGTAATCTAAAAAAGGGTTAATGGCCACAGACCTGGATTCTTAGCAGATAAGCAGGAGGGTGGAAACTGAGTGTTTGGTTGAAAGAAATGCTTTTAACCACATTAAGCGAAACTAACATGGTTTGGGGTAGTATTTCTCTCCCTGTGAGACAGAGCTGTTGTGAAAGGATGAGCTGAGCTAAGTGCTTTGGTTATGCAAAGTGTTATTCCTGCCCAAAGAAATGGAAGTCATCATCTTAAATTATTATTTTTTGGCAGTTCTGGGAGTTGAACTCAGGGTTTCGTGCTTGCTACGCAGACACTGTACCATCTGAGTCACTCCACCAGTCCTTTAGTGTTGGTTATTTTTATTTTTTAGGGGGTGGGACTGGAGCTTGAACCAGGGTTTCTCACTTGCAAAGCAGGCACTCTACCGCTTGATAATGTAATGTTTGGGTCAATGATGTGAGTTTTCCATAGACTTTGGGGGACACATGGCCAAACTGCTCTTCAGGAAGATGGGGACAAGAAGTACAGGAGTGTATTCTTCTAAGCTCTGCCAACCCTTGGTATCTGTGGACCGTCAGTAAATATATCCTGTTCTCTGTTCAGCTTTTTGATATTGGGATGGTTGAACTTTCCTCCCCAACTATAGATTGGCTATTTGTGTGTGTGTGTGTGTGTGTGTGTGTGTTACTGATTTCTAATTGTGTTGCATTTGGGTCAGAGAATGTGGTCTGTATTTTATTTGTGACCCATCTTTTGTGGCTTAGTGTAAGGGTGGCACCTCCTCTGGCTGCTGGGGACTTTCTGTCCCTCTTACAGCTCTCTTCTTTTCCTGCCTCCTCCACCAGGCTTGACTTTATACCAGCTACTCACACCTCTAGCAACCACTTGACCTCACTCTGCCTGGGGCTACCCTAGGCCCTGGGGCATATTCCAGAACAGTACTTCTCACCCTTGGCTGCTCTTGAGAATCACCTAGGTATGTAGCCCAGGCTGGCCTTGAACTTGAAATCCTCCTGCCTCAGCTTCCTAAGTGCTGGGATTACAGGCATACACTGTCATGCCTAGCTTCTTAAGTGCTTCCTAAATATGCAGATTCCCAGGGTCTCTCCTTTAGGCCTGGGTCAGAGCCCTGGAATCTGCATGTGCCCCAACTTGATTCTCACGAGCCAGCAAATTTGGGGTTACTGTGCAGCTGGGAATTGGGACGTGGGGCAGTGCAGGTTTGGAACTAGACAGGAGGAGGAAGATTATTGCCAACTGAGAGCCGAAGAGCTACTGGGGGAGGGGAACTAATTCAAAATGAAGTTCCTAGACCTCACTGAGAAAGATCCTGGGCTGGAGGAGTGACTCAAGTGGTAGAGTGCCTGCCTAGCAAGCATGAGGTTCTGAGTTCAAACTCCAGTACTACCAAAGAAAAAAGAAAGATCCCTATTTAGTAGGCCTATCATGGGATTTGGGAATCTATTTTTGACAGTCCTATGCCACGCTTCAAGGAACCCCAGAATGAGAGGATTTTGAAGGGAGAAAGTAGCTCAGCTGGCCTTTAAAGACTGTAGTTATTGGCAAAATCCTCTTAAGAGTGATGGATTTGCTGGGTTCCAGTGGCTCACACCTGTAATCCTAGCTACTCAGGGGGATGGTGGTTTGAAGCCAGCCTAGGCAAATAGTTCATGAGCTCTTATCTCGAAAAAAAACCCATCTCAAAAGAGGGCTGGTGGAGTGGCTCAAGGTATAGGTCCTGAGTTCAAATCCCAGTACTGCAAAAAAAAAAAAAAGTGACAGGTTTTTCTTTTTTTTCTTTCTTTTCTTTTTTTGTTGAGATGAGATCCTTCTGCCTCAGCCTCTGGACTATATAGAACTGTAGGTACATGCCACTGTGCCTGGCAAGAGTGAAAGGTTTGATGATAGGGTGGGGACTTTCTTATAATTTTCTTATAACCAGAGGTTACATGGTGTCTATTGAGCTTCTGTGCTCTATGAAGTTGTACACAAAGAAACCCAGTGTCTATTCATTGATGTTTTTGTAGTAATTGGACAAGTCACAAACCTGTGTAAAATGGTAAGTGAATAGATTGACGTTCACAAAATGTGAATTGCATAACTGAATGAAAAGAATGCATCTACCTCTCTGACAATTGTTGGCTTTAGGGACTCCCATACTTGTGATTGTGGGTGAGGTATAACTTGTTTTCAGTTAGTCACTCAAGCACATCAAGATATGCATTGTGCCAAGCACTGTTCTGGGTGCTATGGAGATGAATGAGACACCGTTGGGGTGAGGAAGATATGCACGTAAACGAATGGCCACAGTGGTGGGGATGTTTCCAAAAGTGGTTCTTTGGCTCATGATACCAACTATGTAGCTTCTGATCTTTCTATGAACAAACGTTTTGGGAAATTGTATGGAGGTGTTCAACAGAGTGGACAGTGATGCCCAGCTGGACTCAGGTCTGCCCTCCTCCACTCAGTGCCGAGTGGGCTAGCTGCGTGGAGGGGTGAGGATTTTAGACTTTGGTGTCACAAGAACTGTGACCAAACCGGGGCCTCGATGCTTATTTCCTGTGTGTTCCCTCATTGTAAAATGAGGAGCTGAGTGGCACCTGTGTCAGTGAGCTGTTACGGGGACTAAATGGGACAAGGCCTGTAAGATATTAATGTAATCCCCAGGACACAGTAAGTGCTTGATCGGTGTTACTTGTTTTCATTTTAATAAGTAAACTGGGACATGATGGAGTGACAGGTACTCAGGTACTTTGGTAACATCATGATGTCTGTGTGTCGTAGGTGCTAAGCACAGTGATTTCCTAGAACCTAAGGGATGCTTTGCCAGCGTGGTATCCTGTGGCAGAAAGGTCAGCTCCTCCTCTTCTGTTGAAACGGGTTTGCATGCCAGTGAGTCTCCAGGCCTTGCCAGAGTATGTGCTCACCTTGAGTAAGTATGGGGGAGGGGGCCCCTGACCTGGTGAGGAGCGTCGTTGTGGGTAAACTTTAACCAAGAAGTCGGTAGTCTGAGAGATAGTGTGACTTGCTTGGCAAGAGCATGGATTCTAGTGTTAGACTCTGTGAGTTCGAATTCCAGCTCTGCCACCTAGTATCCACGTGAATATGAGCAAATTGCTTCACCTCTCTGAGCCTCCATTTTCTTATCTGTAAAATGGGAATAAGACTTCATAGGGTCATGAAGATTAAATGAGTTAACTCATGGAGAGGGACCAGAAGACTCCCTGGCACACAATGCAGGCTGTAAGTACTTGCTAGTATGAAGTTCAAAAATAGGGAGAACTGAAGTGTATGTTAGACTGAAAAACGGAAAGAGATAGTCAAGGAGATGGCTCGCTGTCAGCACAGGTTTATTCAGAAGAAACCTGCAGACTGGGTCTCCAGCAAGAGAGCTAGAGGTTTTATATAACTGGGGGTTTTATAGGAAAGGAAGGACCTGGTAAAGGGTAGGGGAGGATTTTGCTCTGTGGCTTGTCCCTTGTCCATTGCTGGGTTAGTCTTCTGTAGCAGATGACTGTCACTCATAGCAGCAGTGGATCCATGTTGTGGGGAGGAAAGAAAGCTCAGAGTGTCAAATTCACATCCTGTGGGGAGGTGGGTGATTGTGCCCAGTTCTGTGTTCATAAATTCCATATAAACAAGTCTCTTTCATCTCCTATGATGTCTGGGATAGAGGACCTGATTCAGTGAAGCCCATATACTTGAACTCTGGCCTAGACATCCCCAAGCTGTAGACTGATATATTCAACTATTTTTAGATACATCCACATGTCATACAGGTTCCTTAAACTCAATGTGCCTTCACTGAAATTATCACCACCCATCACAACCCCAGATCAGATCCTTCTCCTGTACCCCTCAGTTGGCTGTCTCAGTGTTCATTCAGTCTTTTTTTTTTTTTTTTAAATTGTTGTGCTGGTTTCATCAGTATTAAAGGAAGAGATAGATCTAGGGGTCATACTTGTCTCCTTTCACTCATCCAATTGGGAGTGAATTGGGATCAAGTCCTGAAGCATCTTATAAGTCCATCTCTCCCATTGTATCTGTTTTACCCTGGTCCCACTCTGGGCTCTGATCCTCTCTTGCCTGGATCACTGTACTACCCTTTATACTATACTGTGTAACAAACCATCTAAAACTTGGTGGCTTAAAACAATAACCGTTTGTTATCTCACAACTTCTGGGGTCAGGAGTCTGAGCATGACTTAGCTGCATGCCTCTAACTCTAGTCTCTTTCATGAGATTGCCATCAAGATGTTTCAGGGCTGTGGGCTCATTTGAGGGCTTGACCGGGGCAACATTCACTTTCAAGGTTGGTGGTAGGATTTGTTCCTTGTAGGGATGTTGGGACTGAGAGCCTCAGTTCCTCACTGGATGACCAGAGACTTTCCTCAGTTGCTTGTCTTTACCTGGGGCATCTCACACATGGCAGCTGGCTGTCCTTGGCAAGTAAGCAAGAGTACACACAAGACAAAGCCAGTCTTTTTTGTAACCTAATCTGTGCAGTGACACCTTATTACTTTTGCTGCATTCTGTTAGAAGTGAGTCATGAGGGCGAAGGAGATGTGAAGACAGAACAGAGACTGGAATGACACATTGCAAGCCACAGAACACCAAGGACTGCTCATAGCCACAGACGCTAAGAGAAAAGCACAGAGCAGATTCTCCCTCAGAGACTCCAGAGCCTCCATGCTGACACCTCAGACTTCTGGCCTCCAGAACTGTGGGACAATGGATTTCTGTTGTGTTAAGGCAAAAGTCAAAACCAAAACACACACAAAAAATTGAGTCATGAGTTCCAGTACTATGAGGGACTCAAGGAGAAGAGACTACAAAAAGGAATAAATAATCAGAGGTGAATAAATACTCTAACTTGGCAGCCAAGTTAGAGTCTAAATGGACTCCAGCCTTAAATCTTATATTCTTTTTTTAAATTATTATTTATTTTTATAGTACTGGAGATTGAACTCAGAACCTTGGGCTTGCTAAGCAAGTGCTCTAGCTCTTGAGCCACACCCCATAGTTCTTTTCTTTAGATAGGGTTTCACCTTTTGCTGGGATGACCTTGAACTGACTGGGGTTTGAACTCAGGGTTTTGCACTTGCAAAGCTAGTGCTCTATCTCTTGAGTCACACCTTGGGTCATGATTCCACTTCTTAACTGTGATTGGTTTAAAGGAGGGCACATGACCAATGCTGGACCAATAGGAGTCCTTCTCTGAGCTTCTGCACACTGGAGCTGGGGATAAAGATTGGTTGAAAGACTGTGAGAGTGTGGATTGGAGGCCGTTGGTTGTCTTGTTGCCTTTGTGAAGAAACTCATCTGCAGCAGGCAAGAAATGAAGCTGAGATGTCAAGACAAGCAGGGAAGAGCAAGAGAGACTTTGTGCCCTGATTCCACTTGTCCCCAGCTATACCCTTGCCATGGAACCAAAGCATCCCCATACTTGCTTAGTCTGAGTTGGATTTCTGTCACTTCCAACTAAGAGTCTTGATTAATACACTGGTGAGCTCACACCCATGTTTTTTGAGGCTGAGCTCAGGAATTTTTCCAGAAGTCTGCTGTGGCTCTCAAACCTACCTGGATTAGGTGTCCTTTTTATGGGTTCCCTTCCTAGAAGGGCCTCCATCACTGCCTTTGCTCACTTTTCTGCAGTCATCCATGGGCTCCATGTATGTCCACCTCCTCTCCCTAGACCATCAGCTCCCTGAGGGCAGGACCTTTGTCGAGTCACCTTTGGGTCTCCATTGTCTAGAAATAGTACCTGCCACAAAATGGTCTCAGGTAAAGTCTGCTGAATAACCAAAGGAGGGGGATACTTCCAAGATCTTGGGGAGGGTTTCTTTTATCCTTACAGTATTTTCCCTCACAGTTTATCCAGCAAAACCTTTACCACCCCCACCTAACATTTGGAGAGAGTATGTTACCACATGTAAGAATTGTCATGTACTCTGAACTGGGGAGGTGCTGAGTTACTGAACCTGGGTTCAGTCCCTTGTTTCTGAGCTTATGATGTGGTAGAACATCGTGGTAAAGTGTGTGATGGAGCAAAGCTGTTCACGTGATGCTGGCCAGGAAGCAGAGAGCAAGCTTGCATTTTTTATTTACCTCTTGAGCCACCCCCACCAGCTTTTTTTTTTTTTTTTTTGTGGTACTGGGGTTTGAACTCGGGGCCTGCCTACACCTTGAGCCGCTCTACCAGCCCTTTTCTGTGATGGGATTTTTTTAGATAGGGTCTTGCGAACTATTTGCCAGGTCTGGCTTTGAACCACAATCCTCCTGATCTCTGCCTCCTGAGTAGCTAGGATTATAGGCGTGAGCTGCAAGCTTGCTTTTAGAACAGGGCACCTCTTGCTGAAATCCATTAATCTATGAATCCATAAATATATTAATGCTTTCATGAGGGCAAAGCCCTCACAAGTCAACCACCTCTCAGAGGCCCCACCTCTGAACACTGCTGCATAGGGATCAAGCCTTTAATTTAATACATGAGCTTTTGGGGGGCATTTATAATCCAAACTGTAACACCCCCCCCAAAAAAAAATTTAGCAATCATCCCCCACCTCACTGCTCCCCAGCCCTAGACAACCACTTACCTCCATTTTGTTTCAATAGAGTTGCTGCTTTGGACATTTCTCATAGATGAAGTCATTAATACATGGTCTTTGGTGTCTGGCTTCTTTCTCTTAACATAATGCTTTCAAGGTTCATCTATATTATTACTGGTGTATCATTACTTTTTTTTACATTGTGGTAGTATACATATAGCATAACAAATGCCATTTTATCCATCTTAAGTGTACAACACAGTAGCGTTGATTACCAGCACCACTGTCTATCTTCAAAACATTGTCTTCACCCCCAATACAAATTTTTTACCCACTAAGCAATAACTCACCGATCTCCCCTTCTTTAGGCTCTGCAACCTCTAATCTACTTTCTGTCTTCATACAAGCAGAATCATATAGTATTTGTCCTTTAGTGTCTGGTTTATTTTTATTTAGCATTATGTTTTCAAATTTTATTCACATTGTAGCATGTAACAGAACTTCATTCCTTTTGACAGATGAATAATATCCCATTATATATACATATATATGTATATATACATATCTATGTAACAAGATTTGTTTCTTCATTAAGCTGTTGGTGGGCACTTTGGATGTTACCACTTTTTTGGCTACTAAATATAATTCTGCAATGCATGTTCACATACAAGTATCTACTTTCTGTTCTTTTGGAGTTGCTAGGTCATAGTAACTGTATATTTAATTTGTAGAGGAACCACCAAGTTGTTTTAAAATATGCATCTTTTGAGTATGTTTAGTCCTCTCAATTGTTAATAAATGAGTGATTGCTCAGGGAGTTTTCTAGAGGAATAGGTTTAATTCTATAAGTGAGAAGTAGTGTAGTTCTAGTGTAAAATTTGTAACAGCGATTCTAACTCCCAGTTTAAGCTGATCAAAGACGCTAATCCTGCTTTCTCTCTAGCACTGCTGCAGATTCAGGTCAGAAATCCTCCTCCTTACATTCTGACCACTCCTCTGAGACCTCATTGCCTGATGTCCATACAAATCCTGAGGAATTCAGCCTGCTGAAGCTGCAGACAGGTGAGTGGGTCAGACCTGCTCCTCTGCATGCCTCTGTGCCGGGGTCTTTTCAGAAGTTACCATACAGTCATGGAAGATCCACTAATGCCAGACATTTGACACACTTCTTAATTCCCACAGCTCTGGGGAGCTATGGTTATGTTTTTCAAAAATGTCTTAGTATGACATTTTTGAAAGTTCCAGGCCAGCCTGGGCTGCATAGCAAGACCCTGTCTCAAAAAACAAAAAAGCCTTTATATAAAAATGGGTCACTAGGCTGCTTCAACTTGTGTGAACATTGCGGTGTGGACCTACACACACCTAGATGGTAAATGTTCATCACTCAGTGCAATCAGGAGGCCACATCACGTCATTTGACCTATTCTGTCTAGGTTTGTGTAAGCACACACTGATGTTCACACAAGATAAAGCAGCCTAGGGCTGGTGGAGTGGCTTAAGTGGTAGAGCACCTGTCCAGCAAGTGTGAGGCCCTGAGTTCAAAACCCTGTCCCACCAAAAAACAAAAACATGAAGCAGCCTCAAATCATTGAGTCACATACACTGAGTTATGGTATACAAACTATTTTCACTTGACAGTAAACAGATCACGGACCTCTTTCTACCTCAATACATTTACATCTATGTGGCTAAGATAGCCTATTTATAGAGAGGGAAACTGAGGCATGGAGAGGTTTCATCCCCCATATAAACGCACATAGCCAGGAAGCAGACCAGCAGAATTAGCACCTCAACTTTCTGGCCTCCAAAGCCTGTGCTATATAGGGGCCAAGTGGTTCTCAAGTGGCCCTAGAGCTGCTGGGGAATCTTTCAGTGTTTAAAATAGATACTGAGAGGGCCAGTCACTGGCCCGGGGCCTCACAGCGGCTTTTCTCACTTGATCGGAGTACACAGTCCCTGTGTCACTGCGCACAGGCACGGGCCCTTGTTGCTGCCAGTACCACATTCCACCCAGCATACGATGACCCACATTTTTGTTTTTCTCTGAATTTTGTAAAATGCTAATATGACATTTAAATGCCATGGTTGGCCTGGGTGTGCTCTGGATGGTGAACGTTCATTTTCCTCCACAGAAGGGAAGTTATCAGAGGGAAGGGTGGTGGGTCATAGGTGCTCATAAGACTGCCTGTGAACTTCCCAGCCCATACATCACTTTTGAGTATAAAACTGGCTTTAGTTTTGAGGAGGAAGGTGAAAAGGAAATGAATGTGAGACTTTTGTAGCATCCCTCCACTTCCCTTCCTTTTTGTGCCAAGTCCTCCAGAAGTTGATGTAGAACCAAGGACTTATACCTGTTGATACTGGTTGCATGCCTTGGCTGAATGTGGTGGTGCACGTCTGTAATCCTAGCATTTGGGAAGCTAAGGCAGGAGGATTGTGAGTTCAAAGTCAGCCTGGGCTAGCTGGGGGAGATCCTGTCTCAAAACACAAAGCAAAGCAAAAAGTTGTGTGGTCATACGGTGACTGGGAGTTTTCACAACTTGTCCTTTTGTTGCAGTGTGAAGCTGGGAGTGGTACTAATGGAAGGGTTTCTGATGTCTTGCAGAGGATGGGCAGCGTCCGGAGTGGACATTTTACCCAAGGTTTAGTAGTAACATCCACACCTACCATGTTGGAAAACAGTGTCTCTTTAATGGGGTGTTCCTTAGCAACAGGAGGTCTCTGGCAGAGAGGACGGTGGACAAGAGTCTCGGCAGAAAGAAATATGGTAATGTTTTTTCTGTGACCTCTTCAACTGTGATTCTGCAGGCCCTGAATTTTGTAGCTGGGGACAGCCCTGCACGGTCACCACATCATCCTAGGGCAGCCAGTAAGATAGGAAAGCAGAGAGAACGTATGCTGACCCACAGTTTTGTTTTTCTCTGAGTTTCTAAAAGTGTTAATGTGACATTTAAATCTTAGAGAGTTATTAATAGAAAACTCATTGAAGTCCGAAGAAAATAATTTGTTCAATTAGATGCTGTCTGTCACATGCTTTAAAGCATATTTTAAGTCCTCCATAAGGAAGACATCCCATAATCCTTAGTTTGAAGTGCATGCTGTTATTTTGTAACTTATTTAATTAAGAGCAATTGAGATGAAGAAATATTATATATGTAATATATAATGTGTATCATCTTCTTGGTTTGTAACTTGGTGGGTTCCCTGCCCCACTTACCCATAATACACTAGGGACCGACCCTAAAAGATTTTAGAGTTCCAATGGACCATCATGGCACGCTCTCCCTTCAGAAACCCCTGTGTAGAAGGAGGCAGCCAGTGCTTCAGGGATGAATAAGACTGTTGTAGCAGGAATGCAAAGAGATAAAAGCAGAAACTTCTCATTTTTGAGTTTTAAAATAGACTTTTAAAGTCCTACCAGAGACAGGGAGTTAGTTGTGAGACTTGAGGTTTTATTTATCTGGATGGGCTGGAAGGGTGCTTATTGTGTGTGTGGGGGGCCTTGCCTGCCCAGCTCCTGAGTTCCGAAGATACAGGACTATCAGTGTGGTTCGAACCCTAACCCTGGCCCACTACTTCCCCCACCAAAAACTAAGTGGATCCTAAATTACGTTTATTATTCTTTTCCCTCTTCCCTTCTCTTTTCTGTCTGTTTCCCTCCTTTCCTCCCTTTCTTCTTTCCTTCCCTCTCTCCTCTTCCTCCTCCCTCTCCTTTTTTTCCTTTTATAGTTTTATAAATAGAGTAAGCACAGAAGTGTATTTATGAAACATTTGTTGTTCATATAGGAAACAATACCTCAAACCTTGTGTGTTTCTCACACCATTTTAGAATACTGTCTTTCCATGTGAAGTCTCCAGCTTTCTCTTTGCCCAGGATGAGATATTCCTAACACCTTTTAGAAAACGTCCCAAACAGAGGCTCACACTTTTACCTTCATCTCCTCAAGGTGAGATAGTCACAAGGAGAACGAAGACACCTCTGTGTAACTCATAAATCACAAAAATATTCTCTTTTCATTTCACTTTGCGACTTAGAGGAAATTCTTTATGTGATGTTTCAAATTGTCTACAGATATTGATCCCAGGAATGGAATCCCGGCACTGACCCCAGGGGATAATCCGTATGTGTTCCCAGAACAGAGTAAAGGCTTCCACAAAGCAGGAGCAACTCTGCCGCCTGTGAATTTTGCACTGTGAGCATGTCCACTCCAGTTATTTCACCAGACTTTAAGCTGTGTCTCTCTACTACATATAAAGTTTTTAAAAGGGGTGAATCTAAACCAGACAAGATCAGGTGAAAAGTCCTTAGAAACTTCATCTAAAGGCCAGGCACGGTGGCACATTTCTGTAATCCCAGATACTTGGGAGGTAGAGCGAGGAGGATTTTGGCTTTAGTCTTGCTCAGGCAAAAAGTTATTGAGACTACTTCAAAAACAAGTTGGGTGTGGTGCTACACTGCTGTAATCCCAGCTCCTCAGGAGGCAGAGTCAAGGAGGATTGCAGTCCAAGGCCAGCCTGCAAAAAGTTGGCGTGAGACCCTGTCTCAAAAACAAAATACAGCCGGGCACTGGTGGTTCACGTGTGTAATCCTAGCTACTAAGGAGGTCAGCCTGGGTAAATAGTTCTCAAGCCCCTATGCTGGAAAAACTCACCACAAAAAAGGGTTGATGGAGTGGCTCAAGGTGTAGGCCTTAAGTTTAAACCCCAGTACCACAAAAAAAAAAAAAAAAAAAAAAAAAAGCCTGGGACATGCTTAGTAAGTGTAATGCCCTGAGTTCAAACCCCAGTACTGCCAAGAAATACCTCAAAAACCAAAAAACCCACTTTATCTATAGTTAACTTGTGTATATACACATGTGCATGTGTAATTGAAATGATAAAAGACACAAGATAGTTTAAAAATGGGTTTTCATTTTTTAAATTTTGACATGGTAATGTACATATTTATGGAGTACAGTGTGACATTTCACAAGATGTTGACTACAAAAGTGATTGTTAATTTTTTCCTATTTCTATTACCACAAATTGGAAGGCTTTCAAATTTTTGTAGTAAATCAAATCATTGGTTAGTGACTACTCTATGGGTTGACTTAAATTTGGAACTTAGATCAATGTGATTGATGAGAATGGATCATTAAATTAAAAGACAACTGTATTACATTTAAAACACTATTTAAAAATTAATCATGGGGATACAATGATTTTGAATGAAATAATCAAAAATACTAAAAATTATGGACCTTCCAGTTTTGAAGCCCATACTTGAGAATTAGTACTGAAAAGTAAGACTTAAAAAAAAAAATACAGTGACATATTGATCTCTATGCTGTAGAAGCCATACAATTTTGTTTGCTTTTTCTGTTTTTCAGAGTACCTTATGAGAAGAAATTTGATACGTTTATTCCACTTGAGCCTCTTCCACAAATTCCCACGTGAGTGAGTTCTCTCACCAAGTTTTATGTTGTCTCATCCCTATGAAACTGTCACTGACTTATTTTCTCCTGTGGAGCAGCTTGGAGACAGCCAATACCTGGGGGCCTTTTGGCTCACAGCAGAAGGGCAGGACAAGGACAGTTTAAGGAGGGCACTTGAAGTGGAGGTCAAGGTCTGTGGCATCTGACCATTGAGATGGGCACATGTTCAACACATGGAACAGACAGACTACCAGACACCACCAGTGTGCTAGGTGTGGGTGACAGGAGAGTTTGCATGGAACAAAAAGATAGCTCCCTGCTTCCAGAACACGAGTGTGCTGGAAAAGAAAGATATATGCTTAAATGATTTCAGCCAGGGAGCATGGTTTGTTTCCAGAGGCAAAAATAAAGCCAATGGAATACTGCTGTGTCTGAGGGGAATATCATTTCTTTAATTTCATACTTTTGCTCAGCTACATTCTGAACCACATCTATTTACCTAAGTAAGTTTCTGACCTAGAAAGAAATGTTTTACTCCCCTCTCTTCCCCTTCCTCTTTTCTTTTTCTTTGCTTTCAAATACAAAACAGTGTTATGTAAGTATGGCTAGAGTAGGCAGGTGTCCCAGGCTCTGACACGCCAGGGTTGGGGGAGGGGGGAAGGACCAAACCCTGTAGCTTACTGTGGGTTCTTTTTTTCTTAATTTCAAACTTGAGATCTTGAATGCTGTCATTATGCTGAATTATTACTTAAGCACATAGTTAGGCTTCTCATGTCCATACTTTACACTTTCTTACACACACTGTTGTAGAATATTCAAAATACTAGTAGTTGTCTGAATGCCATCACCCTACCCAACTATTCTAACTTTTGTAAATGTTTTCATATACAAATGTTTTTATATATATAAATCATAGAATACCAAAGAATATGGTTTTTCTAAAAAAAAAAAAAGTATGTATTTTTTAAAAGGAGGAGAAAACATTGTAGAGCAGCATGTTCTGCCCTGGGGAGACTTGACCCTCCCTTCAGGGGACAATGATAGTGATGCAAAAGTCTGCTACCTGTCAGTATGCCAGGAGACACAAGGACTCCAGCTTCAGTTTTTGTTGTGAGGGTTACTATTTATTATTTCCTAGATTCACTATCTTTCTGCACCAATTCTCTGCTAATCCTATCTACTGACTATTGTATTTTTAATCTGTAGAAATTTAATTTGGTTTCTGTATATCTTTTATTTCTTGGCTTATTATTTTTCACATTTTCCTAAAATACTTGAACATAGTTACAATAGCTATGTTAACATTTTTGTCTACTAACTTATTAGTTAATTTATGTCATTTCTGGGTCTGTTTCTACAGATTGATTTTTCTCCTGGTTAGGTTCACATTTTTCTGCTTTTTGGTATGTCTAGTAATTTTTGTTGGGGTACTGGACATTCTAATTTATGTTAACTGCTTGAATTTTTTATCTTCTTTTAAAGAGTGTTGGACTTTATTTTAGCAGGCAGTTAAGTCACTTGCGGTTTTTTTTTTGAGACAGGGTCTCACTATGTGCCCCAGGCTGGTCTTGAACTTGTGATCCTCCTGCCTCAGTCTCCGGAGTACTGGGATTGAGTAATCCCAGTGTACACAATCATGCCCATCTCTGGTATGATCTTTTTTTATTTCTATTTATTTTTTAAAGGTGTGATCCTTTTGTTTTTAAGCTTGGCTAGGGCATATCTAAAGTAACTTTTACTGTGAAGATAGTTCAACCCCACCACTAAGATGTGGCACTTTTGGGGTCATCACTGAATGCTTGAGTTACCACTGAGGAGCCTTCACTTTGGTTGATGGAAACTTGAATGACTTTTAGCTCTTTGTGAGCCCTGGGAACGGTTCAGTTCACACCTTTCACGACCACGCTATTTATTGTCCTTTGGAGTTGGAACCTATACATATGCAACTGAATATTCAGCAAAGATTCAAAATTTGTTAACTTCTTGAGCTTAATTTCTGTACCGCTCCTTCTTTTCCAGTACTCTGCCTTGAAGTTGCCAGTCCTCCAACTCTCTTTGAACAAATATCTCTGGTTCTTCAAACTCAGGGGCACCACCCCACCCTGCTTGTGTGCAGCATTTGAACTCAGGGTCTCACGCTTGCTAGGCAGGTGCTCTTACTGCTTGAGCCTCTCCACCAGCCCTGCTCGGTGATCTTGAATGAGTCTCCAGGTCACAGCTGGATATCCTGGGGCTTTCCTCATTTGCTTTCCTCTCCTCCAGGATCACAGTCTGTGCTACCTATTGTCTCATGTCTGACAGCAGTTGTTTCATTATAGTTTGTCTGGTTTTCCAGTTAAATGAGGAAAGTGATCTGATCCCTGCTACTCAAACAATCAAATAAAAAACAAAAAAACTGTGGTTCTTGTTTTCTTTCCCAAGTTATCTGATTAATCAGTTTTACACAATTGTATTACTCTCATATTGTACTAACTGTAAAATGTTAAGTTTGCAAATGCAACAGTTACCTTTAAGCTAAGGGCAAAACATGATAACCAGATATATGACTTGTTAACTTAGTTGGTTAGTGACTGAGCCAGAATTAGAACTAGAATACAAATTACAGAGATGAGATTACTTAATGAAAACGTTCCTATAATTTCCAGTATGTCTTACAGGGATATTTAATCAACTCAACAGGTATCATAGAGTACCATTTGTGTGCTCAGCCTACAGGAGGAAAGGGCAAGTGGTGAGATGATGGAGGCAGGCGTGACAGTCATGAATAATATAGGATGCTTGTTTCAAGTCTGATTGTCTAGAGGGGACAGAGCAACACTTGAAAGTGAACATAGTACAGTGTGCTCTTGGAGGGGGGCACAGATGTGGAAAGTTTGGCATGTGTTTGATCTGGGGCCTAGAAAACAAAGCTTACCAACAAAGAATAGAAGGAATGCCAATGTAGTTAATGTATCCCACAAGGAAGAAGTATTATGGTATGCATATACATTAGGACCCTTAAGATTCATTTTTAACAACTTTGAAATCAGGATGCATGTTACAATCAATGTAGGGCAGCTGTCATTAACAAGACTTCCCATGCACTGTGCCCAGCAGGTATATTCTGTTTAATCAGAATGCAAGTTAGATACAGGCTCAGATGAAAGCCCTTACTAAGCTGTTTCATCCCTACATTCTCCTATTTATTTTCATCCACTTGACCTAGCTTAGACTGAGAGTTGGTGTAAAAATGTCTGAATATTAATGTTTCTAACTATCTTTGCTGTTGTATCTTTTAACATAAGTTGTTTTCATTTTTCTTCTTTATTTTTCTCCTGAGTTATACCTTGCCTTAATAGTAGTTTCTTTACATTTGCCTAGTGTACCTTTGCTCATTCTTTTGCTTTGAATCACTTTGTTTTTAGATATTTTAGACATTGAGTTGGATACTGATTTGGGGGCCAATCTGAAAACTTTTTTTATGTAGGCAAATTAAGGCCATTTGCAGTTATTGACTTATCTTTTTTGGGGGGTGGCACTGGGGTTTGAACTCAGGGCTTCATGTTTGCAAAGCAGGCACTCTACCACTTGAGCCACACCTCCAGTCCATTTTCCTCTGGTTACTTTGGAGATGGGGGTCTCTTGAACTATTTGTCTAGGCTGGCCTCAAACCTCAATCCTTCCAATCTTAGTCGCCTAAGTAGCTAGGATTATAGGCAAGAGCCATTGGCACCTTGCATGTCTATTTGATTTCAGCTTTATAATACTATTTCATTACATTTTTATGTGTATTATATTTGTATTTATTGTGAATCACTGTTTTTCTTTGGTTACTTCAACTAAAAAAATTCTTTCTTTTGATATTTAGGAATGCTTGTGTTGTCTTAGTGTTTCTGCTAATAGCTTTGTATATTGCTCTTAGTCTTCTTACTTGGGCTTCTACTTTTTAGTTTGTCAGCTTTAAATGATAACCTTGACTCCCACCTGTTACAGTAACCCTCCACCTTCCTTCTTGTAGGTATTCCCTTATCCCCAGAAGTCTTTTGGGGTTGGAACTCAGCCTTGTGCTTGCTAGGCAGATGCTCTACCAGTTGAGCCATACCTCCAGCTTTTTTTTTTTTGCTTTAGTTTGTTTTTAGATAAGGTCTTGTGCCTTGGACCTCAATCCTTGAGTAGCTGGGATTACAGGTGCGCATCACCACACTTACCCCACCTCAGCAGTTTTATCAGGGCATTTTCCCAAACATGTTTTGTAGCGAGCTTTCTCACATGCTGTTACTACTGAACCTAATGGGGTGACTAGGGATGCAGAAAGGACAAACAATAGATGACAGACATGCAGAAAGTTGGGATCAGGTGTGCTGATGGACTCAGATGGAGAGGCATAGCAGCCTTGTTGCTTCTTTTCTCTAATAACTCTTCTTTTACTCTGCTTCTTTTCTCTTATTCTTTAAAACCTTACTTCTGAAGTCTTTTCTGTTCTCTAAAGTCTCTTTTTTAGCCTCACTCTGTCCCATGTTTTCTCTTGGCTTTTCTTTAGCATAATCTCTCTTAAAGTCTTTGCCCTAAGACTTGGACTGTCCCATGTTCTCGCTTTAGCTTTCTTAAAGCCTCTGTGCTCAGACTTGCAGACAAACAAGAGCAGCTGCCTCCAAAAACTGTATTAGCATAACTCTTAAAAGTCTCAGTCCTCAGACTTGGACTGTCCCATGTTCTCTTTAGCTTTTCTTTAGCTTAGTTTTTCTTTTTTTTGATGGGTCTTTTTTTTTCTAATTTTTTTTTTATTATTCATATGTACATACAATGCTTGGGTCATTTCTCCCCCCTGCCCCCACCCCCTCCCTTACCACCCACTCCGCCCCCTCCCTCTCACCCCCACCCCCTTGATACCCATCAGAAACTGTTTTGCCCTTATCTCTAATTTTGTTGGAGAGAGTATAAGCAATAATAGGAAGGAACAAGGGTTTTTGCTAGTTGACATAAGGATTAGCTTAGTTTTTCTAAAGCCTACATATAAAGTTCTCAGTGCAGAAAGCTGCTCTGGTGGAGACACACACAGCCAGCTGCGGCAGCCAATCAAAAACCCCTCCATCAAAAAACCTCCTGTCCTCCTTCTTTTATATACAGTGGTAAACAAGGAGGTGGAGCAACAGTTCTGGGGAGGGGAGGGGTGGGCACGGTGTGACATTGTAACAAGAGAAACCTGCCAACTTAGGAAAAGCAGCTGTGCTGCATTTTGCCTTGGCCCCCTCCTGCAGCAGGGACCATGCCAAACTCAGCTTGTGTCATAATCTGCTCCCCACAAAGTGTAAGAAGTTTAGTTGCCAAAAGGTAAAAACATTTTCTGCCCCCTGTACAGACTCATCTTAGGAGTCACACTTCCTGCCATCTCCTAGAGCACACACATTGCAGCCCAGCAGATGCCCTGTCAAGTCTCAGTGACCCTGAGAGGACTGTGGGTGTCTGACTTAGCCAGGCATCAGAAAGCAGGAAGCACACTCAGCTGCAATTCTGAGGACAGCCTAATGAAGGGGTTGTTTACATGTGTGTGGGCAGGGTTGGAGGAACCCACCTGGGAGGAGGGGGAAGCCCCAGCAGCTCTGAGTAGCAGGAACCCACATTGGGGGGGAAAGCCCCCCAGCAGTTCTGAGTAGCAGGAAGCTCTGCTACTCCTAGGTCCCAGTGAGGAGAAGAGGGATCCTGGTTCTCAGAGCACTGACGCCTGGGGCCTTGGAAGATGGGCACTGGCAGAGCTGTGGCATTGCAGGAGGGCAGGCACTGCCAGAGCTAGGCTCCTTGAGAGATAGGTGGGAGTGAAGGAGGTGGTAAGAACTACCCAGCCTCACTCTTCCCACCTTCTCATCTCCTACCTCCTGTTAGCCAAGTCCAGCTCAAAGTGTGGGGGGTGGGGTACAGAGAGGAGCCAAGGTGATGCAAGCTGCAGGGCTCAGTCGCCTAGCAGAGAAGAGCCCAAGGAGAACTGGGTCTGGGGCAGGCAAATGGGGAACAAGTCACATGCTGTTTTACTTTGGAGCCTGTCTCCTCAATTGGAAGTCCTTTTTTACTTCTGGAGCATGGAATCCCTTATCCAATGATTGTGTTTACAAAATCACATCAAAGAAATTTAAAGTCAGGATACTGTCTTCTTCCTGCAGCTTGCCTTTCAGGGAGAAGGAAAAGACCAATAACCTCAAGAATGAGATCAAAGAAGTCGAGGAGCTTGACAACTGGCAGCCAGCAGTGTCCTTAACACACGGTTTATTCTCTTCTGGTGCGTTAAAGAAACTTCAGAAAACAGTGTAAAAGCTGGAGGAGTCCAGAAGAGCAGGCTTTTGAGAGGCTTCTCATGGACAGGAGAGAAGGCAAAACCTCTCCCGGAGTGGATGTGTCTTCTGTCCTGAGGTGGTGCCTTGGGCAGACATCATGGCCAGGCATTGTGGGGCCAATATATTGGTGGATGGCTGTCAGTCTTGTGAGGAAACACAACCGTTAACTCCGTGCCTCTATCCACAGGTGCTTTGGACTTTCCAAGACTATCCTGAGCAGAAACAGGCCCACAAAGCATGCACTGCTGCACTCAGCAAGCCTCGTCCAGTTGCTGTGTTTTGACCATGACACTGGCTTAAATTAAATGTTTGGCTCTCATGAGGAATCGCTGTGCTCTGCCTTACTGAACTTTGTAGTTTAATAACTTTCAAAATGTACAGGAAGGTTGTGAGAACCATACAACGAGCACCTGCGCGTCCATCACTAGGTTCTACGATGGGTTCTACGATGGTTAGCGTTCGTCTACATTTTTTTTTTCTCTCTCTCCTCCACATTGTTACTATTACTATTTTGTTGAACTATTTGAGATGTCACCATGGTTCTCCTAAGGTCAAGGGTATACTGCCAGCAACTACATTCAAATATCAAACTCAAGGAATTTAACATTGATACAAGAATATATAGTCCATGCTCAGTTTTATTCAGATAAATTTAGTTTCTAAGGATGCCCTCAAACCAAGGCAGCTATTATGTGTTTTAGTCTGCTCAGACTGCTACAATAGAATACTATGAAGTGGGTAGCTTATAGACAACAGGAATGATTTCTCACAGTTCTGGAGGCTGCAGAGTTCAAGTTCAAAGTGCTGGCAGACTTGGTGCCTGGTGAGAGTCTGCATTCTATTTGATAGAGGTAAGAGGCAAGTTAGCTCTCTGGGGTCTTGCTCTCTCTCTCCCAGTTCTTTTTTTTTTTTTTTTTTTGGTAGTACTGGAGTTAGAACTTAGGGCTTCATGCTTGCTAGGTAGGTGCTCTACCATTTGAGCAACTCCACCAGTACTTTTTGCTCTGGTTATTTTTGACATAGGGTCTTGCTTTTTCCTCCTGTTGGTCTGGACTGTGACGCACTTATTTATACTTTCCACAGTAGCTGGGATGACAGGCATGTGCCACCATGCCCAGTTTGCGAGATGGAGTCTTACAAACTTTTTGTCCAGGCTGGCCTCGAACTGTGATCCTTATGATCTCTGCCTTCCAAATGGCTAGGATTACAGGTGTGAGCCACTGGTACCTGGTTCTCTCTCTCTTGAAGTGGGGGGGGGTCTTCCTATGTTGTCTAGGCTGGTCTTGAACTCATAATCCTTTTGCCTCAGCCTCCTAAATAGCTGGGATTTCAGAAGTATACCTGGGGTCTCTTTTATAAGAGAGTGCTGTTTGCATTCCCTCTCAATTGCCTTATGTCTTAATACCTCTTCACTTCCCCATGGCCTCACCTTCCAATACCATTATCTTGGGGGTTAGATTTCAACACATGAAGTTTTGGGGGATGTGAACATTCAGACCATAGCAGTGAAGTTTCATTATCTTTTTATAAAGCAATTCTCATTTTGTTTAACATATATTCTATAGCCTTAGCAAATTCTCATTTTATTAATATGTTTTGGTGTTTTCTCTAATACTCACTTGGTACATGTCAGGAAAACATAAGGTAATTGATAGCATTGTCCTGTAGCCTATTCCCTACTTCAGTATTGTCTGTCTACACATCCAAGCAGGGAGAGAGCTCCATGACCACCAGGTCTTGAGTGGGCCTCCCATTCATTGTACAAGAAGCCATCATTTGGAGGGAAAGTTGGAAACAAAAGCCTGCCCTCCAGAGTCAGGCTGTGACACAGGTGCCTCGCAGTGTGTTCTCAGTCAATCTCCTTTTCTACTAGGGAGGCCCACTGGTTGGATAATGAGGACTGCAGATTCTCACTTTCCATCTTAATATGGAAAGGGAGATGGGGAGCCCATGTTGACACTCAAAGTGTGAAAGAAGCAGGCTTAGAACTCAGTGCACCATGCTTCCTTGCTATGTGCCTTTGACTAGCTGGCAGAGAACACAGTGTCTACCACCAGCAGCTTGGCCCAGCCACTCCTTGGGGTGACATCAGCAAACATTTGTGTTAATTCTCAGGTCCCCAGGGACACAAGAATATTGTTAAAGGTACCCTACCCTACCTTTAACAAAATCCAGACAAGAAAACAAAACTGAATAATTTAGAAAAGCAAAAAGAAAAGAAAAGGTTTACAAAAAAAAGTTTCTCCAGAACCTATTAGCTCCTGAAAACAATTGCTATGTGTGTTCCTATTAAATACTCTGTGAGATTTTGGGGGAAGGATTCCCACAGAGGAAAGAGTTAAGAAAAACAACCAAAACACAGGTCCAGGAGGTTTGTAGCAGTTTCTAGGTTTTAAAGAGGTCTATATATTTCATGGGTGCTCTCCGAACCTGAGGAATAGTTATGACTTTAACAAACACAAAACTATCAAATGATTGAACTTCTGAAGTTTCAGGACTAATCTATCCCCTGGACATTGGCAATTTTCACTGGATTTGATGTTTTCTGTACACCTCATCTCAGTGGCCAGGCCTTGTTCCATGGAACTCCAATATCCGGCAGGCAAAGTTCACTGCCAGCTTTGGGCAGGACCTGTTTGTATGTGTGTGTGTCTGTGTATTGGTGAGATGAAGGCACAGAGAAAGTCCAAATGAGAAAAGTGTGCATGTCTGAGCTATCCCAGCTCACTCTTCTTTCAGGCACAAGAGGTTGAACCTTCCCCTTCATCCCACTTTAGGTTCATTGGTAAACAAATGTGTGTTTTCATTTCTGATTTTCAATAACTGGAGTTTAATGGAAACAGCCTGCATTGACTTTATACAAGTAGCTCAGTTAAAGTAAAAGCTGTATATCACAAAAGGCATTCTAACTTCAGTTCCTGGGAAAAATGGAAAAAAAACTGGTCTCTGTGGACAGAAGGGACAATAATGTCATACACCTATTGACACTAAAGTCCAAATCAACTGACTGATGATAATTCTAATACTTCTTTATAGTCTCTGCAAAGTACTAAGACATTAGGGTACGATCTTGGTCCAGTTTGTATTCCTATAGCAGAATGCCTGCAGTGGGTAATATATAAGGAAAGAGGTTTGTTTAGCTCACAGTTTTGGAGGCTGGAAGTCCAAGATAGGTTGGCCTCATCCAATCAGCCTCTAGTGAGGGCCTTCTGTTTATATCATAACATGGCAGATGGCATTATATGGTGGGAGAGAGATGAAGCATGAGAGAACAGGGAGGGGCCAGGCTCACTCTTCTATAACAACCTGCTTTCATGGGAATGAATCTACTTCTGTAAGACCTAGCCCACTCTTTGAGACCAGCATTAAATCCTCCACAAGGATAGTTGCCGCCCTGATGCCTCCTTTCTAAGTCCCACCTCTTAAAGGTCCCACCACTTTTTAATACCATTGTGTTGAGGCCCACGCCTCCAGCACGTGAATCTTTGAGGACAAATCATATCCAAATCATAGCAGGTATTAAACTTATAAGATACCACAAAAGATTACAAATATTTTGTAGGATTTCACCAATCATCCACATTTCTAGCTATGAGGTATTTAGTTTGGTTAGGCTGTTTCTTTTGTTCTGAGGCTTTTGGCCCTCAAAAACTAGGTAAGTGAAAGTGTTGTTTATAGAACTTGGGGAAGTATTTTAGAGTTGGAACCCCTCAAGATCATGTATCTAACCTAGAGAGGCTTTTCTTTCCTGGTTGGAAAATCAAGAGTAACCGGACACATAAAAACCTTGCTTGAGGACTGAGAGATGTGTCAGCCATGGGATGGTACACTTTTTAGGCAGCCTATGGACTAAGTTCCCAGTGGACTCTGGGAAAGGATGTGGGAACCCACTGGTGTCCTTCTAATATTGGGGAGTTCTAGGAGGGACTGTGGCTTGATTCTACCCTGAGGAATGGGGAGGTCACTGCCACCCGGAGAGCCAGCACTAAGCTTCTAAACCGGACTTTGTAAGAATGCTTACATGAAAAGCAAGTCCAGCCTTATATCAAATAAGCAGCCAAATATCCCAATGCTTTGTTTTCTGAAATGTGTTTTCTTCCACCAAATGTGGAGAGGGTGTGGGGGCAACAGATGGGCCTAGGTCCTAGTGGTCAAAGTATGAGCATGGGCTGGAAATGTGCTCTTTTGGCTGGGCACAGTGTGGGCTGGAGTAAAAACAGGGATTTCTGTTAGAAAAGGAGCACAGAATGTATGCAGAGGGCACAGTTCTACTGAAAATTACCTGTTTACCTGAAATCCAAATTTAATTGGGAGTTCTGTATTTACATTTGTCAGATATGGCAATTTATAGTAACCATAAAGGAGATGCCATAAGGAGATGGATTTGAGAGTGAAGTAAGACTGGAATGACCTGGATATGTGTGTGGGAAAGGTATGGGAAAAGGGAGATAGAAAAGTGGCCACAGAGGGATGGTGGTGCAGTTTACAGGGCCACATCTAGCCTGTGGGGCTACAGAAGGCTGCCTTCTCAGTAGACACAGCCATGTGAATGCACAGCTTCGTGAGCTGTGTGCAAGCTGGGTTTCAGCCTTTCTCTTCTCACTGTGCAGTGAACTTCCTACACACAATCATGCATGGCATTCTTGTGTTATTCTCTGAAATAAGGAATGCTGAGGAAGTACATGTTTTCTGGAAGAAGGTCAATGTTGGATAAGTTGACTTTCAAGTGATTTTTTTTTGTGGTGGTACTGAGGTTTGAACTCAGGGCTTCACACTTGCTAGGCAGTCGCTCCATCACTTAGTCACTCTGCCAGTCCAACAAGTTGACTTTGAGAAGCCTGTGGCATGCACAGGTGAAACGCTCTAAGATGTATTTGAGCATATAAGTCTAGGGTCCGAATACATGCATGTGAAAAAGAAAATCTCTTATGAGAATGTAGCATGTGAGTGTGGTGTCTATATATAAATTATCCTATTGGAATATTGGTCCTTAGCTGAGCAGTGAGCTCAAAACGACCCTTGAACCTCAAGGGCCTGAAGAAAAGCAAATTCTCTTTGGGAACACTTCCACCTCAGGGTATAGGCGACTCCCTAAAAATGAGACCCATAAAGATGAGCTCCTGAGAAAATGTTATAAATTGCTGTTGGATACGCCTTAAGGCAGTGTGGGTAGATGAAACTGAAGCTAAATTAGGTGAGTAACCATGTTCAGTAAT